GTAGGTCAAGTTCATCAAATTATATCTGATTATTCTTTTTTTCCTCTTCTTTCTTCTTCTAATTGAGCTCTGATCATCCAGCCATTGAAGCCAGGTCAAGTGGGTATTATCTGCAAGTGTGGGTGTTCTTATGCATGTGCCCTCTCTGCTTATCAGCTGGACATTTCACTCTCCACTCTAGTCCTCTGTGGCTATGTCACTGACTCTGGGCCCAAGAGTCCCCATGTCTTGTCACACTGCTGGCCAACCAGGTCTCTAGCTGGGTTCACAGGAGTCTATTGAACGTTGTAGGGCTTAGCTCACAACTTCATTGCTGTTTTTCCCTCACTTCCCCTTATCAGTGATGAACGTGGTCACCAATCAGAGCATGTATTCCCACTGGGTCTTAGTCTTAAAAGGAGGTTTGCCCTGAAGGGACCCGACCACTTGCCTTGATGTCCCCTTGATAGTTTCGAACTGCCAACCTTGAAGTTAGCAGCCCTATTCATAACCACTATGCTATCAGAGCTCCTTTCTGAAGGGATATGCTAGGTCAATTAAATTCAAAGTGGAGAGGTCAGCTCAGAAGATTATGGTTGGAGTAAGTGACATTCATAGTGAGGCTTGCAATCAATGACATGAACCAAGAAGTGTATGAATTTTTAAATGGAAAACTGATCTATTAGCCTTCACTCCATTCACAATAAAAAGTGGAACAGAAAGTGCAAAAGCAAAAGGGAGTTGTGACTCCCAGAAGAAGATGACAATGATAAAATGAGAGAACTCAACTAGGCGGCTCGGGCTTTGAAGACCACCTGGGTCAAGGAATGTAGGCAGCCTCTAGAAGCTAGAAATGGCTATGAAAGGGAATTCAGCCCTATTCACATCTTGAATTTAGCCCAGTAAAAATGTGTCCGATTTCTGACAACTGTAAGATAATAAATTTGCATTCTCAAGAGAGAAAAGGACTGTCTTTGGGAACTCCCAGGGATATAGGATAGATACGGTAGATTTTTTCAGGTACAGAACGATCATGGGAGCTTTGTGATTTTGAAGAAGTTTTAAGAAAATTAAAAACTGCATTAGTGATTAAAAAAAAAAAAAAAAAAAAAAAGACCAAGAAAGTTGCGACGGAATTTTTTTCCATCACAACATTGCACTTAGTCATTCTTCAAAGGTTGCAAGGACTGTCCTACAAGAATTTCATTGGGAAATTTTACTCCATCAAGCCGATAACACTGATATTGCCTTTTTGAACTTCGTTTTGTTCCCCAACCTCAAAAAACATTTATGAGGAACATGATTTGAGTTCCTCAAGGACACCAAAACTGCCATTTTGGCTTGGAGCAAATTGAAAATCAAAGAAATTTTCAAGGAAGGATTTCTGGTGGTGGTGGTTATGTGCTGTGGAGTCACTTCCAACTCATACAGGGTTTCCAAGGCTGTAAATCTTTATGGGAGCAAACAGCCTCATCTTTCTCCTGTGGAACGGCTGATAGTTTCAGATTGCTGAATTTAAAGTTAGCAGCCCGACTCTTAACCACTATACTACCAGAGCTACTCCAAGGAAGGATTAGAGAGATGGAAAATACCTCAGAAGTGTTTAGTCCTAAATGGAGGCTATGTTGAGAAACAACTTCACGCTTTTATACTTTGTTTAATAAACACTTTTATCATTTTGTAGTAATAATTTTTGACTTCTGCCACTCGCCAGTCAGTTTGTCTTACTGTGGTGGCTTTCATGGTTCTGTGATGCTGGAAGCTATGCCACCAGTATTGTAAATACCAGCAAGGATGTCCCATGATGAACAGGTTTCAGTAGAGCTTCCAGACTAAGATAGTCTAGGAAGGAGAGACAGATTACTTCTGAATGTTTAGCCGCTGAAAACCCTATGAACGGCAGCAGAATGTTGTCTGTCAGATATAGCTCCGGAAGATGGGCCTCTCAGTTTTGGATATTCAAAATACACCTGGGGAAAACTACTGCCTCAAAGTAGAGTTGACCATAATAACATGAATGGAGCAAAACTTTGGGGACCTTCATTTGCTGGGGCACAACTCCAAATGAAAATAAACAGCTGCAAATATCCATTATAATCAGCAATGAAAAAGAGGAAGACCTTCAACAAGATGAATTAACACAGTGGCAGTAGCAATGGGCTCAAATGTAGTAACAATTATGAGGATGGCACAGGACCAGACAGCATTCTGTTTTGTTGTGTGTGTATAGGGTTGCTCTGAGTTGGAACTAAGTAGCACCAAGCAACAACAACAACAACTTTTTGACTTACCCTCATAAAGCAGAAAACTAATTCCTAAAATATCATTCACTCTTCTTCCCTAATTCCATTTCTTCTGTTTATAATTATTCTAGTAAAAGTAACTCACAATTCAGATTAATTATAAAGGGATAGGTATGTTTACCTGTCTTATTTTCCCCTAAACAGAGGAGTCTAAGTCAACAAGTTTTTGCTGCTGTTGTTTTTAAGTGCCGTTGAGTCAGTTACAACTCATAGCAACCCTGTATAAGGCTTCCAAGGAGCAGCTTGTAGGTTTGAACAGCCAACCTTGTGGTTAGCAGTCCAGTGCTTATTCTATAGTGCCACAGCCTACAACAATAATAAGAATCCTGATTTGTAACCCACCTCCAAATATATCAAAAAACGTGTTTTAAAATAGGATATGTTTTCATTTAAATAATAACCATATGCCCCTCTTGTTTAGAAGGAGAAAGTTAAATTATAAAAACTCAAACAAAGCAATATCACTACTATCAAGCAATTGCTGTCTTGCAGACTGCAGATATGTTCTCTTTAGCAATGGACATGAGGTGCTAGAGGGAGGTTGACACTGTGATACCAAAGGAATTTCTTGACAAGTACTTAAGCTGTGGGCGCTCCATGAGGAAAGGAAAATAAATGGTGTCTGGGCTCTTCACATTCTTGGGATTAAAGCAAACTGGAATGCATAAAACAGTATCAAATATACAACAAACAATATAACAACAAAAAAACAACAATATATTGTTTTTGCTGTTATGTGACATGGAGTCGGTTCCAACTCATAGCGACTCATAACAACTCATAACGGTTCCAACTCATAACAGGGTTTCCAAGTCTGTAAATCTTTATGGTAGCAGAAAGCCTCGTCTTTCTCCCGTGGAACAGCTGGTAGTTTCGAGCTGCTGACCATGAGATTAGCAGCCCAATTCGTAATCACTACACTACCAGATACAAAATAATCAAGTTATTTACTGTAACACCAATTGGAAAAATCCAAAATCTGTCAACAGGGGACTAGTTAAGGGAATGATGATGTATCTGTGCTGTCCTATTCAGCTAGTATTTTCAGAAAAATGCTGAAGAGAATTTTATGTATTATATAGAAAATAATATACATCTGTATGTAATTACATAGAAATAAAATAATTTTTATCCATATGTGTAGAAAATTTCTGAAATGATACACAAAATTATTGCAAGATTGACTGCTTCCTAAGAAAATTGAATGGTTTGGGGAATGGGTAGATAAGGAGACTTTATTTCACCATAACCTGCCTTGTACATTTGAAGTGTTTTACCAAATATTTATATAAACCACTTAAAGATAAGAGTAAAGTAGTTTGAAGATCAGTGCATTCTGGTCGATTTCAAGCACATCCGGAACAGCAACAACATGTACTGTAAACACAGACACTGTTGTGCAGCTCCATCCTCTGAGTACTGAGTTCTTCCATGGGAATGAATAAGACGTGGCAGGTGCAAAGACAAGATGAGTAAAAGCTTCTGTACAGAATATGAGGGTCTAGAATTCAACACGACAGGGATGTCAGCTTTGTTTCTAATAGAGACCAAACAATTTGCCTAATGAGAATGTAAAGAGAGAAGAAAAGATAGTTTGGTTTACCTGGAGGTGGTTCACCCTGGGAATCAGGTGATCAAAATAGTGGTCAACAGCATTAACAAAGCCTTTGTTGGTTGTCCTCAGATTCAGGCCACGGTCTTGTAGCAACCAGCTGGGGTGGAAAAGGGCAAGCTCAGCATTTGAGATTGGAAGACAGAAGGACAGCTGGTCAGGGCTGGTTGTAGAGCTCCCTTTAGCATAGATTGGCTTCTTTGATCTCATCCCACAGCCCTAGATCACTAAGATCACACACTCTGTACTGTGAAATATTTTTGGACTATTCTCATAGACTCATGTTATTCAGAAGAAAATATGATCATTATACCTTCAAGATGCTATGCCTATTATGAAATGCATTTGCCTCTATTTAGCCAGATTTGGGGAATTAATCAGGAAGCAAGGCCATGGACATTATAACTTAGTGACAGTTCTCACTGGATATTCTTCTCCATTCTTAATTCATTAGAAACATTTTTACTGGGCACAGTGTGTACACCTTAAACACATTCCAAAGACTTATTTCAGTTATAATCTTGGTTCCAACTCACAGTGACCCTGTATAGAGTTTCCAAGGAGTGGCTGGTAGATTTGAACCACTGGCCTTGTGGTTTAAATCAATGCTGTAGTCTAGTGCTCATCCTATAGCATCACACCAGGCTCCAGCATAAGCACTTACAAGTCAGTAAATACATGTCCTGGTTCACTTATGAAGTGCCTGTACCATGAATACCTGCTGCTGTAAAATACCCATTTTCCTCCAGGCCATGTCTTTTCAGCTTCAGAGCTGAGACGAGAGAACAAGTTTGTCTTAGAAAAGAGTCAAAATTCTTTTATACAATTCTGGAGAATCACAATGCTCACCCAGAGGCAGGCCATGGATGAACAGGCATTCCTTCCAGCTTGCACAGTTAGCAGGAGGATTAGTGGATTCTAGTCCTAAACTTGTCTAGGCAAAGAGCCAGCATCACAGATGAAAGAACAAGCAATAAACCCAACAAACATAATGAGCAGGAAGGAGGGGCTGGGGTGCTAAATACAGTGGATTATACTCCCTGCCATGAAAAAAGAAAAATCACACCGAGCCTGAAGTGTGAACAAGTCTTTTCCTCTCTAGGACTTTCCCTTTCCTTTCTTTCTACCCTGTGTGAAGAGCAGAAGTAGGCATAGTTCCCTGACCTTTTGAAAAGCAAGAATGTGATCAAGTTAATGCTTTCATTGCACAAACTCGGCAACAGGCACAGTACCATAAAAATCACCTCATACATAAAATAGTACTACAACAGACACAGTACATACTTATATTCCAACAAGTAGTACAGGAGAGGACATAGGGGACCTATACAGCATAGTCCAAGACACAAACAAACAAACAAACAAAAACCCACAGCCATCAAGTTCATTTAGACTCATAGCGCCCTTATACAGGGCATTCAAGGCTGACAATCTTTACGGAGCAGAAAGCTTCAACTTTCTCCTGAACAATAGTGGGTTTGAAATGCCTAGCATAGTGGTTATGAGTTGAGCTGCTAATCTCAAGGTCAGCAGTTTGAAACTACCAGCTGTTCCATGGGGAAAAGATGAGGCTTTCTGCTCCCATAAAGATTTACAGCCTCGGAAGCCCTGTACAGGGTCACTGTGAGTCGGAACTGACTCTATGGCACACCACCACCACCTTGTGATCAGCAATCCAGTGTTTATCCTACAATGCCACCAGAGCTGTAGGACACAAGACACAGTCTCAAAAAGGGTATGTTTATTAATATTATATTTAGATTGTACTTTTAAAAAAGGAAAATGCAACCACATATCTGGACCCTTCTAAGTCCTGCTTACCTGGGCAAGCCTCCAAGGTCAATCTCACTGCAGATATAGGGGCCTGGACGCAGAATCACCCAGAGCCCAAGTTCCGCTGCCATCCAGATAAAAGCCCTAGGGAGGAAGACAGTGTCGGTGACTCTCATGACAGACAGAGCTGAGGTTTGGGTGGTAGGTATAAGGAGTGCATGTTGGAGAAACAAAGGATACCCAGCATAGTGCACAGAACTCAGAAGATGGGATGTAGAGACAGACCTGTTACTTCCTTGCCTCATCTCACTGTTGCAACCAGAGGGACAAGGTTAGTGGGACAAAGACTGCAGCCTCCGACCAGCAAAGCAGGGAATACAAAGGTAGAGGCATCCTTGGGAATGGGCTTTTCACTGTTTGCATAGACTTTTGGGGAGCTAAGGAGGGACTCAGAGAGGTTACTAACAGAGAAATAACAGTGATGTTTACCCTTGGTGGCAGTCCCTATCCCAGCCAGGTAATGGGCCCACACTGAACCCAGGCGTCCCCTCAGGTCTTGTTCAGTCTATGTGGGTACTGTGAGAAGAGGCTACAAGTCCCACTTCATCAGGGTCAACAAGCACCAACTGTGAAGTGTCTGGTACAGGTGCAGAGCCTTTCTGAGAATCCTAAGACTGTATGTAGACTCTGTCTCTTCCAGTAAGGCCTAAGGAATCCCAGGAAGCCACCTCTCTGTGTCCCACCTAGGGTCTGGCAGCAGAGGTAACGCCAACACCTACTCCAGATCCAGGTTCCCAAAGAAGTCAAATTTGTCTCTTTCTGGCTCATGGAGGTTCCACGGAACATAGCTGTAACAGGAAAAAGAGAGACAGGATACATGCCTTCTTATTTCTTTCCTCTAAATCCCTAGGGTCAGCCTCAATCCCAAGCCAGAACATGGGAAAGCTCTACTGTGGAATAAACTGAAGTTTCTAATGACAAATTTCTATTATATAAATGATTATCTTCAATTTTTTTGTGTGTGCTTATTGCCCAGTTATGGTCCAAGCTGGCAATAAGTTTATGATTCCAGATTCCTTGGATTAATATGCACAAAATCTTACTCATCATGTAGGATTGCTTTGGGGATTAGGTGAATTAGTAGTGTCAGGGTTTAGAACAAGCCTGGTACATATTAAATAGTATGCAAGTATTTATTGAATAACTAAAATTGTCTTACATTGCAGTGGTATATACATTCACTGACTGTTTTGTGATAGACATTTTTCACATAAGATAAAGGTTTTATATTATTTAATCATCAATACAACCTTGTTGTTCTTGTTGTTAAGTGTCTTTGAGATAGTTCTGACCCACAGCGATGCTGTATAGGGTTTCCAAGGAGTGGCTGGTGAGCTTTAATCACCAAACTTGTGGTTCAAATGACTTTGCAGTCTAGTGCATTAACCCACAGCACCACACCAGGACTCCACTATGAGACAATTATTATCATCTCCATTTACAGAAAAGACCCTGGCCCTAAGATGTGATACTAAGAGGAAGAGCTCAGATTGAAGACCAGTTCTGTCTAATTACAAAGTCCAGGCTCTTAGTCCTTGGGATGTGTTCATTACCTTTATACCATTGTTGTTGTTAAGTACCATCAAGTTGGTTCTGACCCATAGCAACCATAGGGTTTCTGAGGAGCAACTGGTGAGCTTGAACTGCTAACCTTGTGATTCAAACCAACTTTGCAATCCAGCGCATTAACCCTCAGTGCCATACCAGGACTCTGTTCATTATACTTCACTTTATGGATACTGCTGTTTCCTTACATGCTCATTTTTGATAGTGGTGTTTACTCTGTGTCTTCATTTTCATGTACATAAAGAAAAATTGTTCTAAAAACACCATGTAGAGATCCTCCCTATGATGGTTAAAGTTGTGTGTCAATTTGGCTCTATGGGTGGCAGTTATGACATAATCATCCTTATGATGAGATCTGATCGAATGTAATCACTTCCATGATGAGATCTGGGATGCTCATTCAATTGAAAGGGAGTTTCCTTAGGGTTGTGACCTGCATCTAATGTATATGGACATTCTGGTAACTGTCTCTTGAATTTTGCTTGATATAGATCCTGCAACTGGTTTGTCATCATCTGACCTCCAGTTCTTTGAACTTGAGCTAGTGGCCTGCCATATTGTTTATTGATCCTGGCAGGCACTAGCTTCTGAAACCTGAGAGTCATCAACCCACTATCTCACCATCCGACCCTGCATTTATTTACTTCTGCAACCAGCAGACTGTCATCTAGTGCCAATCTTGGGTTCGTTGGCCTCTGTAATTATGTGAAGGAAGGAACCCTGGTTGCACAGTGGGTTGTGCCCTGAGCTGCTAACTGTGAGATTGGCAGTTGAAACCCACCAGTTGCTCTGCACGAACAAAATGAGGGTATCTGATCCCGTAAAGATTTACAGCCTCAGAAACCCTAAGGAGCAGTTCTACTTGGTCCTATAGTTTTGGAATAAACTTGATGGCAGTATGAATCAGGAGAGCCTGACATTTGATCCATGAATTTGTATCAAATCCAAATACTGTGTCATTTCCTTGATAGATAGATAGATATAAAGAAAGATAGACAGACACATACATATACACATATATAGGAGCACTGGTGGCATGTAGTACAGGTACTGGACTGCTAACCACAAATTCACCAGCCACTCCACAGGAGAAAGATGAGACTTTCTGCTCCTGCAAAGATGTACAGCCTCTCAGACCCTATACAGGGGTACTGTGGGCCAGAAACTGACTTGATGGTACCTAACAACAATAATGAGTAGCTGGTAGGCTCAAACCACTGTC